CTTGGGCAGACCGAGGTCTAAGGCGAGGGTGAGTACGCCGTAGGAGGCGATGGGGGTACCGTTGGCAGCGAACAGGTCATAAGAGGGTTGCTTTGACTTGTCTTGTAGTGAGGGAGGGATGAGGCTTACCGATGAACCTGTGTCGATGAGGAACTTCTTGCCAGAGGTGCGGTCGGTGACGTACAGTAATGAGACGCCTGAAGGGACGGGGGCTGAGGCGTCTACCAGCCTCCGGTGTTGCCGTTTCCCGAATAGGTGCAATAGGGCTCACAGTTTCGAGCATTGCGGCCGAAAGTCTGGTGATACCAGCAGAGGGTATATTTGTTGTGCTGGGGGCTGGCTGCTGTGTGTCGGAAGTTGTAGGGTTTGGTGCGTGAGTCAGGAACTGGCACAGCAGCGGGTAAGGAGGAGCAGAACTGCTCAATGGTGTCCATCCTGCGGTTCAAGGTTTGTAACAGGTCCTTGATATCTTGTGAGGTATTGCTCGGCTGAGGTGTGTTGACCCGGCTTGCAAGTTCAGTGGGAGGTACTGGTGTGACCGTGGCAGCAAGGGGTGCAGCAGTGCACTGGTTGAAAATTCTGTCTGCCGCGGTTGCATATAGCTCTGGTGTCGTAGAGTAATCTACTGCGGACAGGATGTTGCTTACTTCTGTGGGTAGCTTTTGTGCGTGAAGCTGGCGCAGGATAGAGTCAGGAAGTCTGTCTGTGTACCGGGAGTTCACCCTGCACATCTCTTCCCAGAGATGTCCCGGAGTTGAGTTTCCAAGGGAGATGGAAGATAGGTTCTGCAGGATATTGGAGCGGGTCCGTTGGTAATGCGTTCTTAAGGCATCCCGCAGAGTGGCGAATTTGTTGTTCTCTGGAGGGTTGGAGATGATCTGTGAGACTTGTGTGGCGACTTCAGTGGGCAAGGAGCAGAGCAGGGCGCCGTACTTCTGCTCGTCTGTAGCTGTAGAGCCGATGAGAGCTGCTTCGACATGAACTAACCAGTCCTCTACGTTGTGGTTGAAGGTTGGTAGAGAGATCCGTCCGTCCATTCTTGCGGGAGTATATCGCACCTGTTAGGGAAGGATGAGGGATGGGTGCTTGTTCCGACCCCCTTCCGTCTTCACAATCTCCTGGGAGGGAGGTGAACACTTGCGGGGGGGACTTCGGGACGAATACACTTTTTTAGGGTGCAGGTCCTTCGGCCAGAACTAAAAAAACAAAAGAAAAATAGGAGAATAGGCAAAAGAGCTCAAACCACGTTTGGAATATCGCACAATAGTTGCTCTCCAGCTGTGATGTGGGTCACTCACACCGCCAGTAGGGGAGAACAGACTAATGCGTTATAAACCTTACGGTCGTGAGATGGTGTCGTTGTGGAGTAGTGGGTGGTGCAGGGAGGCGGTTGGCCTAGGCTGGCAGCAGGCAGGACGATCTTCTCAGCTCAAGTAGTAAGGCAGCAGAAAGGAGTGTGGTATTCACGGCTCCGGGGGTCACCAATTAGCGTACTGTATGTGGCCAGTTGTCAATTCTCTTTAGTTGTCTATTATCTCTTTGTATGGGCACACAAACTTACGTACATGAAGATACCTTCACTCAGGAATGAGGTTGGATAGAAACTCACGATGCGCTTCCTGTATATATATTGTTGTACAGCAGGGTGCTTAGGAGTGACTAGGTGAGGAGCTGAGAGAGATGTTGCTGGTCCAGTAGCTGAGTGTAGAATGTCCTCCCTGGGCAGGCGTGGCCGTATTTATACAATTTACCAGGATCAGGATCTGGGGTGCGCGTAGCGAGATGACCAATCACAGTGGCTCAAGCGTAAGGTGTGAAACGCTCTGATCCTGAACTGGAGGTTGATGGTCGAGACTAGGTCGGCGATCGTACCCCTACGTCCTCTGCATAGACCTAGTCTCTCGGCGTAACTGGCTGTACGCTGATTGGCTGGTCGGAGTGCGGCCGGAGCTCAGTTGGAAGTTGTAGGGGAGAGTAGCCACTACAGTATCAGGTGTTGGTAAACAAGATCATGATAGATTTCTTTCATTGCTGTGAGAGTGAGCGACTGTCAAGTGTGATACATGAGGAATTTAGTATTTTGTTTGTGTTTGAGGACTATAATACCAAGGTACAGGGGGTCCAGATGTGGGGGTAAGTTTTTCCTTCTGTGAAAGATCGTGTAGTGGGTTTTCTCAAGATTTAAGGTCGGTTTATTACTTATTACCCAGGTCCCGACTTTAGTCAATTCAGTGTTCATAGTTCTCATCAAGGAATGGAGTGAGTTGCTGGCATAGAGATTACTATAGTCTGCAAATAAGTTGTATTTTATGAGTGAGCTGGCGTGGACTGTGTCGTTTATGCACAACAAAAACAGTACTGGACCGAGAATGGAACCTTGGGGGACTCCATATAAGATTGGCGAGGAGTCAGATTGGTAGTTATTATACCAGACATGCTGCATCCTGTTGGACAGATATGAGGTAAACCAATTGTGGGACAGGCCCCTAACGCCGTAATGTTCAAGCTTTGAAAGGAGGATGGTATGGTCGACAGTATCGAAGGCTTTAGAGAGGTCCAAGAATATACCGACTGTGAACTGACTGTCATCAAAGGAATTTAAGATGTCATTAGTAAGGATAGCAGAGCACTCTCAGTCAACCTTCTAGCTCTAAATCCATACTGGGAGTCTGTATAGATGTTATTGGCATTGCAGAAGGAATTTAGTCTATTACATGGTAGCTTTTCCAGTATCTTACTCAAGGCTGGGAGGACTGATATGGGTCAGTAATTCTTGAAGAGACTTTTGTCCCCAGATTTTTTATATGCCGGGTGAACTTTAGCAATTTTCAGTTTATTAGGAAAGACACCACTAGTGAAGGAGGAGTTACAAATGTGTAGGAGAACAGGAAGTGATAAGTGGGCTACTTTCTTAATGATGCTCAGTGGTATATTGTCTTTGCCTGCTGCTGCATCTTTGGACATTTTTATGATGGGCAGTAATTCGTCTGCTGTGACAGGGGATAAGAACAGCTCGTTTTGCTGTCTGTTTTGCAGGTAGGCTCTAAATTCCTCATGGTGATCAGGGATGCTCTCTGCAAGATTTTTGCCAACATTAATAAAATAGTCATTGAAGTGGTTGGCAATGGGGGAGGGTTCAGTTACAACTGAATCGTTTATCATAAAAGCTGAGTGGGGGGCCGAAGGTTGAGTGTTCCTGTTCTGAATAGAATTTATGACATTCCAGGTTTTCTTACTGTCGCCTGATGCTGACTGGAGCTTATTTGTATAATAGTTTCGTCTGGTATTTCTAACTGCTTGAGTTACTCTATTTCTGATACTTTGGTAAGCATCACCTAAAGTTATGGTGTTTTTTTTTGCAAATTTCCTTTGGAGTTTTTTTTTCCTTTATCATTATCTTAATTTCGCTTGTGATATAGGGTTTGGAAATGGATACAGTTTTCACTGACTTAGTCTTGAGCGGGAAGCATTTATCAAAGCAAGCATTGAAGATGCAAGAGAAGTTACTGCTGTTCACGTTAGGGTTGTTGGAGGCATAGACAAGATCCCAGTTAGCATTCATTAGGTTGTTTTCAAAAAGGAGCATGTTGTCGGCTCAGTAGTCTCTGTATTGAATTGAGACACTACTAGACCTTTCAGGTCTTGTGGCTGTTTTATACATGGCAAAAACTGGGAAGTGATCTGAGATATTGTTATAAATAATTCCACTTGCAAGATTGTTTGGTGTGTTGTTAGTCCAGATATGATCTATCACAGTGGCAGAGGTGGCAGTTACTCTAGTGGGTTTGGTTATAGTGTTGAAGAAGAGTTTAGAATGACAGGTAGCAAGAAGGTCTACGGTAATACTGAGGTGTCGGTTTCTGATTTTAATAGATCAAGGTTGAAATCTCCTTTAATGTAGCAGTGGTTCCTCTCTGAACTTATGATGGTGATAAGCTCCGAAAATTTATCAAGAAAATTCCTTACATTAGTGTGGGGTCTTCTGTAGATTACTATACTCCTACTAGGATATTTCAGTGAAGCTTACTACTGTACAGTAGTACTGTATTGTGTATCTAATAAGGTTTATACCTTTAATCCAATAGCACCATAAATGTATCTTTCACATGACCCTTTCTCTCTCCATGACTTATGTTGATGTCGGTCACACTAGAATAACCCGTTGTAGCAACATCCTTCTTTCCTCACACAGCCAAACTGTGGAATGCTCTGCCTTCTTCTGTGTTTCCATACTTATACAATCTGTCTCACTTTTAAAAGCTGGTTTTCCGGCATCTTCGTGGTGTAGATTTTATTTTATTTTATTTTATTGTTGTGTTTTGTTTTTTAATGGAGATTAGCCCACCCAGGCACAGGTCAATGACCCACATTGTGGCCTGAGGGGGCAAAAATGTAATAATAATAATAATTCATAGTAAAAAAATATATGATAAAAAATAACAAAATTTAAAATAAAATAATAAAGATAATAATAATAACACTGTATAACCTTTTTCTTCTCTATTTTTAATTTCTTTCTGTTCTTATTTTTTCGCCCCCTAGGCCCCATTGTGGGTCGTTCGACCTGTGCCCGGGTGGGCTAATTCCCGTAAAAAAAAAAAGGATATAATAACATTGTCAAGTAATTATTAACATGGAAGAAACTTGGTCTTAATTACTGAGCTTTTACTGAATAAATATGTATTTATTTATATATACTGCACTGGTTGTTCTTCACTCTCAGTGATGATACAGTAGTATGATTTTCTTTACTGTTAGGGAAGCGGTTGAAAAAGTTTTATTGGTTTCTGTTATTCCCTATTTAGGGTACTGCAGTACTGTAGTGTGTTTCAACAGCTTATACACCAACTTAGTAAATGGAAAGATACTTTTTTATCTTCCAACATAATTTTGTTAATTAATTTTAAGCTTATTGTATAGTACTACAGACGACTGTACTAAAATATCTAATTAGTATTTTATTTACCGAGTTATCTTTATCTGTATTATGTACTCCACAGCGTGAATGCATCTCCATCCATGTGGGTCAGGCTGGTGTCCAGATGGGAAACTCATGCTGGGAGCTCTACTGCTTAGAACATGGCATTCAGCCTGATGGCCAAATGCCCTCTGATAAGACTGTTGGCGTGTGTAATGACTCCTTCAACACCTTCTTCACCGAGACTGGTTCTGGAAAGCATGTTCCAAGAGCAGTGTTTGTGGATCTAGAACCCTCCGTCATTGGTAAGTTTTTCCTTTATTAGAACAAGAAGTTAATTGTGTACAAAGTAATTTATTACTCATGATATTTACCACCTTTAATATATGTATTGAACAGGAAATTTGAATTTCTCTTGTACTCTTCCAAAATGCAATACCTGAAGCTGTACTGAAGAAAGATCTTTTATGGGGAGATGTCTGGGAATGAGAAACTAACAATCACTGTTTGCTTAAGTGGAGAGAAATTTATTGGCTAAATTATCATTGTAAGCATGGAACAATACAAAAAATAAATCATGTCTAAAAGGTCGCTGACTAATAATTTACCAAAAATGCTTTAATATTTGATGATACATAATGGTATTAATCTAGTCACATTTAAGAAAGTGAATGTTGGAAAAATAAAAATTAAATTTCAGTAATTCATACACAAGTTTTACAGATGAAGTGCGTAGTGGAATTTATCGTCAGCTTTTCCATCCTGAGCAACTGATCAGTGGCAAGGAGGATGCTGCTAACAACTATGCTCGTGGGCATTATACCATTGGAAAGGAGTATGTTGACATTGTTCTTGATAGAATACGCAAGCTGGCTGACCAATGCACAGGCCTTCAGGTTAGTGTTCTTGCCTTAGTATACCGGAATGCCTGTGGAAAAATGGAGATCAGTTGGGTCAAGGGTTGCATTAGTGTGAATGTAGATGTGAGGGGAGGTACTGTATAAAGAGTTTGAGGGAATAGTCAGTAATGATGTGAATAATGTCACATTGTATTTTGTGTAATGGTGAGCAATAAGACCATAGTGTCAAAAAAATTAATTATGGGGACTTAATGATTGAAGATGAAAATGAACACAGTTTGTTAATATGGATGAGCTGTACATTGCATAGTTGTAGTAACAGGATTGAGATGGATTCTTTTCATTAAATTCATATAACACTGGTATATTAAAGAACTGTGCATTAATTTTTTCTTTCATGCCAAAGGTATTCCATGGGTCTCTTAATACTGTATAAATAATGGAAACTACTGTACTTCATAGAGAGTGAGAGACTATAAATTTTTCCCTTACTAGATGAACTTGCACACTATTCTTATTTGATATTCCAATACTTTCAGGGCTTCCTGATATTTCGCTCATTTGGTGGCGGCACCGGTTCTGGTTTTGCCTCCCTCTTGATGGAACGCTTATCAGTTGAGTATGGGAAAAAGAGCAAGCTGGAAATTGCAATCTATCCTGCTCCCCAGGTGAGTTGAGAAATTTTATAATACTCAATACTTTCAGGTTTATAGCCAGTAGGGTGGTTGATCTGTCCTCTGCTATGCACTGTTGGAAAGTACAGTACTGTACTGAGCTTGAACATGTTCCAGTATTGGGAAAGGCTGAGCTCAAAGGAACTCACACAAGGTACTCTTATATTGTTCTCAGGCAGGTTAGTCTAAAAATTCACGACGCTTATTCCAAAGAAGTTAGCTTTAACAGTTTTCTGAATACTGTAGATAGCTTTGCCAACATGAGGCATTCATCCTTATGCTTTATACAGGACTTTATAATCTTTGCCATTGATAGGCTTGTTAGCCACTTGGGTGGCCAGTTATGTCTGTTACGCACTGTTGGCATACAGTATACAGAAAAGCCTCAAATAACGACTTTAATGTGTCCTCCAATATTGCAGTGTAAGGTGAATTGTCTTATTGCGAATCATTAATTATCATTAAAATAAAGCAATAATAATGAGATGCATTCCCAAGTGTGACCTTTTCATATCTTTTGTGTGGCTATTTACCCTCTTTTCCCCCCAAAACAATACAATTAATGAAAAGTGCAAACTATATTCTTTAAGTAATGTTTCTGAATGCACCTTATACAATATAAATTTATAATATGGTCACACAAGAGGAGATGGGACGCCATTGTTTTTGTTTGTGTTTACAGCCGGGAGTCCGGGACGATAGTGCTACACGAGTAAATGAAGAAAATAAGACCCTGGTTGTAGCTGTAGTAAATTTAATTTAAAAAAATTAATATATATGTTTTAAGTAACGTTATTTAATGTTAATAAATGGAACAATTGAAGTAGCGAACCACTAATGGCAAAGAAAAAAAAAAGAGATGATTGGGAACGCCAACATATACACTCGCATTTAAGGATACCGTGTCATTTATCTTAAGAATATGTACAAAAGATTCATTATTGTTTATTACTGAATATGTATTTGATTGAATTAATGTTTACACATCTGAAATGAACAATGCAATTCATTAATAATACTTAGAATATTAAAACACACGAGGAGACAAGACGGCATTGTTTTCGTGGGTGACGATGGTTCTACCTAAGAAACTGAAGAAAATAAGACCCTGGTTGTAGCTGTAGTAAACTTAATTAAAATAATTGAATACCTGTATGTATGTTTTAAGTAATGCTATTTGATGTTAATAAATGGAACACTAGAAGTAGCTAACCACTAATGGTAAAGAAATAAGGCGAGATGATTGGGAACGCCAGCATATGAACAGTTAGTGCACACATGTGAAAACATAACGTCATTTCTCAACATGAATATGAAAGCAACGCTTATTTACTGTTCATATATGTTTTAAATAATATTTACGAATGTAAAACTAAAATTCTATTCACCAATGACGGTAAATTCTAAAACTTAATGACAGCCAATGAATATTGTGCGAGTTTTTACTCAGATGACGAAGTCCTCAGGTTCAACTCTGGCTGAAGCTGTAGCTTTCCATAAAGCTGTTGCTGAAACTGTTACTGGACCTGAAGTTGATGTTGAAGCTGCTTATGATGCTGAATTTGATGGTGTAGCTGAAGTTGATGGTTTAGGCCTTCGAATAATAAAGCTCTTGAAAGAACCTTGCACAGCTGCTTTCTTTTCTCATTACTGTATACATCTTTATGTAGAGGTCATTTGCATTTATTTAAATTTTAATACTTTGTTCTGTTAATGGATCCACTTCAGAAAATATGTTCATTGCTTGCTCCATATAATATCCACAGACCTCTCACATTTTTCATATCGTTTTAACACATCTAGTTTCTCGGCTAAGCTTAGACATCTTCTATTAGCTTTTGAAACAACACTACCATCACTTGCTCTCTTGCTCATGTTGAATAGGGATGCAAAAATGCTGTAAGAAACCTGAGAAAGTTTTTCTCCAGTTCCTGTTCCAGATGCGTGAAAACAAAAGGCCCGCCAAGCTCCGACTGTTGTTTACCACTCATTAGCACGGCAGCTTTGCGCAAGGCACTCTTCATTTTTTTGCAGTAATTATTTTATTTATTTTTTTTAATACATATCGGGATTTAGTTATTATTTACAACTATATGAAAATGTAATTTTATTTTATTTTTATTATATTTTGGTTGTAAATACGAATGAAATAAGGATGTAAACTGAATTGGGTTTCAAATACGAATGAAAAAAGGATGTAAACTGAATTGGGTTTCAAATATGAATGAAATAAGGATGTAAACTGAATTGGGTCCTAAATTATGTAGGGTTTCAAATACGAAAAGTTGTTGGTCGAACTGATGTTATCCGAGGCTTCCCTGTACTGATTTCAGGATGTATCTGTACCTGCGCTATTGTTGGTCAAGTCAGGTCTTGAATGAGCTCATACTTCGTGAAGTCACAATGCTCTCTGGCAGGTTGTTCAAAAGTTCACAACCCTTACTCCAAAAAAGTTTGCCCTGTCAATTTTTTGGAACTTGTGGTTTCTTCAACCTTAAGCTGTGACTTCTTGTGAGCCGCGCATTCGCCAGCTCCAGATATACACTCTTCACTGAGTAATGTCCTCTGAAGTATTTATAGACTTGACAATTGCAGGTGTTCTAATCTCTCTGGGTAACTGACGTGCCATAGTGCAGGCACCAGTTTGGTGGCCTACCTTTCGATGTTTTCAATCAACTGACAGTCTCTAGCATATCTCAGGGACCAGGCGGGGTAATAGTACTCCAGGGGAAGCACCTCACTCTTGAAGAGCGTTACAAGGGATGGACCACCTAGAAATCTGAGTGACCTTATAAGACCTACTAGCTTAGTTGCTTGATTCACCTTCTTCTCACAATGGTCCAAAAACTTTAGTCCATTGTCAACATACACAACCAGGTCCTTTTCATATTTGGTCACCATTAATGCTGTTTCTTCGTTCTGTTTGGGACACGTGACTGACTGCCCAAGCGCCTCACAAGCTGATCAGTGTCAGAGAGAATAAACGTAAAGGAAAATTAAGTGATATGCCTACTTACTGTTGGTACGATCTAGGTGCATCCTCTTGCCTTTTGTGACAATGAATCTCAACAGCCATTCCCTTGACCACTCCTGAAGTGGACAAAAATCTTTCTGTAGCTCTTCACAGTCCATCTGGTTCTTAATTTCCCAGAATAACTTGGCGTCGTCCACGAACATTTATATGGAGGAGTGTATAGCTTCTGGCATGTCATTATGAAACAAACAAACAGTGGGTCCAGTACACTGCCCTGTGGTACCCCACTTGTAACAGGTACACAAGACGATTTCGTGCCATTAATCACCACACACTGCTTGCGGTCATGAAGAAAGTCTCTGATCCATGCTAGGGCACTTCCTCGAATCCTGTACCCTTCCGGTTAATTCTCAGCCTCTCATGGGGTACTCTGTCAAAAGCTTTGGCAAAATCTAGGTATACTGTATATTGTTGAAATTACTGACCTGTTCCAGAAATTGAGTCCAAGCTTCCAGAACCTTGAGTAATTGTGTTAAGCAGGAATTTAATGGCATAAAACCGAACAAGGTTGTTTCGTAATAAATGTTCCATTGTGGCATCTCTTGTAATGCTTTCTAGTACTGTACTTTACACACTATGCTGGTCTTTACGTATTGTGGAGTGACAATTTCGCTTAAGCCATTTTCCAGTCACTGGGGATCTTTTGCTCATTCAGGCATTTACAGATCAGGGTCTTAAGGGGCTCAGCAAGTTCGTTGCACAACTCTCTTAGTACTCTGGGATGCACCATGTCAGGGCCGGGGCTCTTATGAACATTTAGCTCTGACAATTTATTTCTTATACAGTACTGTACTGTACCCTCTTCTGAGAACACAATGTGGGAAAGCACTGTGTCAAACTGTCTTTCCTCAAACACAGGAAGATTGTTCAATGCCTCCACCTTGTCATGGTCAGAATCTGTGTAACTACCATCTTCAAACCTCGGATCCGATACACCTACTCTCGTTTATAATTTTTATTTTGCATAGCAGGAAAAGTCTTTGGGTTTGACTTGACCTCACTTGCAATCTGCCTCTGGAACTCTTTTTCAACCTTCTAGACTCTGATTTTGCTTGGTTCCTGGACCTGGCATACATCCTCCTGTATCAGCAACACTCACCACTACAACCAACCAACTCACCACCACCACTATCACCACCACTCACCATTGCAACCAACACCCACCACCACATCCAACACTCATCACCAACAACACTCACCACCAGCAACACTTGCCACCACCAACAATCACCATAATCACCTCCAACACTCCTCATCACCACTAACTTTCAACACTACCAACTTGTGTTCACAGGATGCAAATGCTTTCAAAATGAGGCCACAGAGTGGTGGCCTACAGGCTAACAGAATAAACAAAGTCACTCTACATGTTAGTAACCTGTACGGTACTGATTGGTCGTAAGTGGTGGGGGTGGGAATTATGCATAATAATGACCGTTGCACAGCTTGTACAAATTCTGGAATTTCATATTTTTTATTTTTTATGTATTTTCTAGTAAAAAAAAAAAAATTGTCTAAATGTTCACTATAATATGGAAAAATCAGTAATATAAAGAGTGAGAGTGTCAAGTTAGTTGAATGCAACTTGGAAAAATTTTTACATGAGGAGGAGGGCGCTGATTGGCTGCGAGCATACATGGGTACATTGCTCTCATTGAAGGAGAAACTAAACAAGCAAGGCTGCTGTTGACAAGTCTCCAATGTTCTGTCTTTCAACTTCTGACTTTTGTTATGGACTTTAATCATTTTTGGTTTCTGGTAAAAAATAATTAGGAGTGGACCAAATTGCTCTATAACAAATTGATGTTATGCAGGGTTGGGCTAAACAGGGTATTACTGTAATTATTTATGATAATTTGGATACGAATGGACCCCGAGTACATAATTTTTTTTACCATAATGGATCTGTCTGTTATTTTTTATTTTTACGGACCAAAGTCCTTAATATATGAACCTAGTCCAAACGGGTCAGAGTGTCTGTTAAAGCCGAGGTCCGTTATAGATGGTGTCCATTTAATTGGGGGTTAATGTATTCCAAATAAGGGAAAAGGTATAATGCTCCCTCAGTTGGAACACACTGTACTGTAATTATGTTTGGTTATATGAGATATTCCAAGTACAGTAATTGAGAACATCCAGGTGGAGGGACAACAAACTGGTGCCAGCACTCGGGCACCTCACACACCAAGAGAGATTAGAATGCAGTAACTTGAAGTGCTTTATTAGGTAAATAAGATAAAAATATACTAAAGAAGGGCAAGGGGTAATTCTATAGTTTATAAGCACGTCAAAAGAGCATTACTCGGTCAAATGTACACATTTGGAGTTAATGGATGACTGCTGCACTAGAGGTTAGAATGAAAAGTTAAAGTAGCCCAGTACAGAAAACTGTCCAAGCTAACTTCTCTGGACCAAAAGTTGTGAACATTTAGAACAACCTTCCACAGAGAGTTGTGATATTCTCTAGTTTGAGTTCCTCGAAGTCCAAACCCGACCAACAGTTATACATGTTCAGGTACATTCAAGAGCCCATACATACCCAGTACAGTACAGTACTTGCCCACAGTGCACCAGACAACTGACAGACTACCCAACTGGCCTCTAAGCTGACAAGTGGCAAAGAAGATACATAAGCAATGACAATTAGAGACAATTACTACAGTATTTATATTAAAGTGATATATGATTTTAATATATGCCCGTATTTTGTATTTATATTAATTTAATATATGCCCGTATTCTGTATTTATATTAATTTAACATATGCCTGAATTTTGTATTTATATTAATTTAATATATGCCCATATTCTGTATTTTTATATATATATATATATATATATATTTTTATTTTTTTTTCAGTCTGCAACTTCTGTTGTTGAGCCTTACAATTCCATCTTGACAACTCACACTACCCTCGAACACTCTGACTGTTGTTTCATGGTTGACAATGAAGCCATATTTGACATTTGCCAGAGGAACTTAGATGTTAGCCGCCCAACCTACACTAATCTTAATCGCCTTATTGGTCAAATTGTGTCTTCCATTACAGCATCCTTGAGATTTGAGGGTGCTCTGAATGTTGACTTGACTGAATTCCAAACAAATCTAGTTCCTTACCCAAGGATCCATTTCCCTCTAACAACCTACTCTCCTATTATATCTGCTGAAAAGGCATACCATGAACAGTTGTCTGTAGGAGAGATCACCAGTGCCTGCTTTGAACCAGCCAACCAGATGGTTAAATGTGATCCACGACATGGGAAGTATATGGCCTGCTGCCTCTTGTACAGAGGTGATGTAGTGCCAAAGGATGTAACTGCTTCCATTGCTAATATTAAAACCAAGAGGACCATCCAGTTTGTTGACTGGTGCCCCACTGGCTTCAAGGTTGGCATTAATTATCAGCCACCAACAGTTGTGCCAGGTGCCGATTTGGCAAAGGTTTCCCGTGCAGTGTGCATGTTGTCAAATACAACTGCCATTGCTGAGGCATGGGCTCGCCTTGACCACAAGTTTGACCTAATGTATGCCAAGCGTGCCTTTGTTCATTGGTATGTGGGTGAAGGCATGGAAGAGGGTGAGTTTTCAGAAGCCCGTGAGGATTTGGCTGCCCTTGAAAAGGATTATGAAGAAGTTGGCATAGACACTGCTGATGGTGAAGATGATGAAGAAGCTAATGATTATTAGATGGTGTGAACCAATTGTGAGTTTTTTACATTAGATCCTTTAATGTTTTCTGTACTACTGTATTTCTAAATTTATGGTACAGGTAACTCGCATTTTACGAGCGTTTGATTTCAGCATTTTTGGAATAACACGATTGTTCAGTTAACACCAAAAGCTAATTTACGTGCACCTATTTTTTAAGTAACGCGTTCAAGACAGTTATATTTGCCGCGCGTGTACGCCTGGCAGTGGAGTCGCGTGTAATGCCTGGTGAGGTGCTTGTAAGTTATTACATACTATAAAGTCGCAGTCATATCAACATCAACAATATTAATATTATTATTAATAATAATAATTATTATAATAATGTAGTAATATAAATTATTACTACTAATGATGAAGATAATGATGGTAATGAAGTATTCTGTACAACAACTGTGACCACGTCCAGCAAGCTTCCCTCGTATCACTTTCTCAGTTCACACCAGCACTACTTTTCCTCTGTGCTCTCATTTGCATTGTGTGTTTATCACGTACCTTTTTAGTGTTAAACGCTGTTTTCCCCATTGAGCACATCTGAAAAACGTCCATCTGCCTCCTCTGGGGCGCCTAAAGCTAAAAAGGCACGAAAAACAATCGCAATGGACGTGAAATTAAATGTGATCACCCGCCTTCAGAGAGGAGAGCGTGTGTCGGAGGTTGGCCGCGTGCTTGGTTTAAGTGAGAGCACTGTTCGTACCCTGTGTGGTATATGATGGTTCCCCTAATCCGTACCATTTACATGTATTCTTATGGGAAAATTATGTTTAATTTATGCATTTTTGAATAAACCGGTGGTTTTCAAGAACCTAAACCCCGAGAAGGGTGTACTTGTGCTAATTTTTTTTTTTTTTTTTTATAATTCATGGTTCTTAATCTTATTTTGAGAGTGACACCAAGTTTATATCAAACAAATTTCACTTAGTTTATGAGAAGAGTATTCACACATTGTTCTTGGAATTATTGCTGATTTTTTTTCGAGTACATTACTGTATCTATATTAATTTCTTTATATACAATAGATACACCGCTTGTCTACTGTCCTAAAGACCACTGGTTCTCATCTGGGGAACTCACAGTTGACCCAGCTATGAATGAGTACCTAACTCCACAGTTGAGGAAGTATTGGTACCAGCAATACAGTACTGCCTCCTTGTATAGGTTTATTAGAAGTTTAGGATTCATCTCTGTATAGTACATATTTGCATTACCTCTAATGGGCTGTCAGGGCTGTGGAACCCATTTTCTCCATAAGTATATACAGTACTGTACATTGTTAATTCACCTAAAACATTTTTAATGTACTGTACCTGAATATTTTATCAGATTTTAGTGTCCTCCGTTTAATATAATGCCAGTGTGACATCTGTTATTTTGTAATAATAATAATACAGTAATAATTATAATAATAAATATAAAAATAATAGCTGGTCTTTTGTTTTTCAAAAGCACCAGTTCATCTAAAGAATTCACTTGCACTCAAAATACCACAAAGTCAAAGACCTTAGAATAAAATAGAAAAACTACTACAAAAAAAGACCACAAAAAGTAACAGGTCATATATTTGTAAGTTTTAACACTTCCTAAACTTTGTAATTCTCCATCACTGTACCCTCTTCAGGTTCATAAGCAAAAGACTGGTCTTAAGTTGTTTCTTAAATGTCTCCACAGTGTCAGTTGCTTGATGGATACAGGAACAGGCAACTGATTGTACAATCTGGGTGCTGTTTAGGAAAAGGATTGAGTAGTGAAAGAACATTCCTGTACTGCTCTAAGCTCCTCAAGGTGTGGTGGATCATCACTCCTACTCAAAATCATTTTGAAACTTATGGTCAAAGGATTTAGTAGGTTGGCCAAATACTTAGAATCACCAAACATATGTGCCTGAAAAATCATTAGGCAAAGTTTGAACTCTATCCTAGATTTAATTGGAAACCAGTGCAGCACAATTCAATCAAGAATGGGGTAGTGGGAGTCCTCTGTGGGAGAGCAAAAATAAGCCTGGCAACCCTGTTCAACACTGAACTTTCTTCAGTATACAATTAGGGAGGGAGACCTAAAAAGTTACAATAATCAACATGACAAAATGAGCGAATGTAATAAGTGTCAAAAGACACTATCTATCCAAAAACTGCTTTACAGCACATAGATTTCAAATATGAAAGTTGTAACTCCTAACCACTGAATCTATATGCTCTTCAAAATTTGGTTTTGAGTAAAAATATACTTGTATACTCCAAGATTGTAAACAGAATAGCAAGACAAAGTTCTACTTCCCTAAAGCTTAAAGAGCCAAACTCATCTGTGTTGTCACCCCTCCTATTTCCTCGGATGACAATAATTGTGGTTTTGTTATCATTCGGCTTAAGTTTTCTCCTAATCATCCAAATCATAATACAGGATCGGACAACAAGGATTTCATAATCTCAATATCCTCAACATTTACCATTTGCACACAGAAATGGTAGGCAACTCCATGAGCACCCAGAAGAGATGAAGACTACAGTACCTGTACTGGTATAGACTGTAAACAGAAGTGGTCCCAAAACCGATCCCTGTGGGATTCCAAACTGTAAAAGGACTACCGTAGGTCTGAAATGGTTCCACCAACCATCACACACTGAAATTGACCTGGCAAATAAGACTAGCAGTGAGAGAGCATCATTATTATCACTAAATGACCATAGGTCCTGATGCAACAGATGATGATCCACGGTGTTAAAGACTGCAGAGTGATCCAGCAAGACCTGTAGGGAGGACTTTCCTGTGCAAGTGTTCATTACCAAATCGTTTTTGAATTTTACATAAGGCAGTTTCATTTGAATGGTGCTTCCCATTGGCTGACTGGACCAGAGGAATCACTCCATTTCTCTCTTAACAGAGGACGTAACAGATCCAGCAAAGCATGCTCTTTGGTCCTTGATAAGAATGAGAGTATTGGAGTCTGGGCGATGCAATAAAACTTATCATGATTGTATAAAATTGCCCTTTGCAAAGCATTTATTATGATTCTACAAATAAAGTCTGCAGCATGTTCATAAGTGAGCGATACTTTAGATAAATATATATAGGATCAAGACAGTCTTTGAATCACAAGTATCCCATGTACAAATATTCCATTCTTACACCTCTCACTATACAAAAGCTATGGTCCATTAAGGTAATGTACCAATATTTATATTTCATTAGTTTCTTAATGTGCTAGGTACTAAATTAAAGTAATTAGGTACTAAATTACAGTACTAATTTAATGTTTTTAGTATCACAATCTTATGTCTTACCCAAGGTTACCCCAAAAAACAGAGTTGGACAAAATTTATATTGCTATGGGTAGCTTTAAGTAGGGTAGACTTCATGAGATACTCTTTAGGTGTTCCCAAATACTCAGTCATGGCTGAAGAATAAAATCCTGAGCAAAAAGGCCCGAGATCGAATGTGAAAAGGACTTGGGTGTGTAGGTTGACAATGAACGGTAGTTCTCGGGCCATTGTGAGAAGGTGAATCAAGCAACTAAACTAGTAGGTCTTATAAGAAGGTCATTCAGATATTTAGACGATCCGTCCCTCATAACGATCTTCGAGAGTGAGGTGCTTCCCCGTATGGAGTACTGTCCCCAAGATATGCTAGAGACTGTCGGAGTGAGAATTGTGAACTCTTGGAACAATCTGCCAGAGAGTGTTGTGTTGGCACTGAGTTTGAACTGTTTCAAGACCAGACTTGGCTAAGACTGGAGTAGGTTCAGATACATTCAGGAGCTAGTGCTTGCCCAGTGTTATGTATGAACCAAGCTATGTCACATACCTGGGAATAATGATTATTGTCACTCTTAACCACTTGGACCAAGGGTGTACCCCATGCTGAATGTTGCCTTTTCCCATGTTTTACTGGCTTCTAACCTATGTATCTCTTGCTCAACTAGTGGTTTTAAGGCATATGGAACTGGTCTGGGTGGAAGAAATTTTGGAGTAACATCAGGCTTCAATGTTAAAGTAGCCCGTATATCTTTTACTGTACCAGGAGTTTCATCAAATAGATCTCCAAAATTCTTTAGTAATGTATTTCCTGAAGGAACTCCTGTGCTACTTTGTACTCTGAAAATTTCATGCCAGTCAAGTGGAATTTCTTTCAACCAGTCCAATCAAAACAAAGAAGGACCATTACCCTCGACAATGATAATTGGCATATTTCTACGTACACATTCTTTGTACCGTAGATCTAACACTACTGCCGACTACAGGAATATCTTTACAGTTGTAGTCTTTCAGTCTCTCTTTACTTTCTTGTATGTGTAGGTTAGGAATAGACCTTGCAACTGTCTTGGACATAACTGAAACGTCTGCTGCTGTATCTAATTGCATTTTTGAGGGTTTGTCATTTACGTGTACAGTACTTGTAGCATAACTCTTTTTCTGTTCCTGGAAACAATTTATTTTGAATGCAAAATCTACTGAATTGTGATCTTGTGTATCTCTGGCAGCATGAATGTGTTTTTTACTATGGTAGGACATGGACTTACACATTTTGGCAAAATAGCCAAGTTTTTGACAAACATTACATTTCTTACCTGTGGCTGGACATTTTGTACTGTGTTGAGGAAACAAATCTGTATTAACACACCTGTAACATTCTTTCCGAGAACCTGACTTTACTTGCTCCTGTTCTCTAGTTTTATGTTGAGATTCTCTCTTATAGTTGTGCTATATTTTATTATGTCTGAAATTACTGAAATTACTTTTGTAAGGTTGATTTTTCTTCAATGCAACCTGAGACTCTCCATGGCCTCCCATATCTGTTGCTTGGCTTTCTACAGTCTTCATAGACCTAGCAATCTGTAAGTGTCTTAAGACCAAGTTTTTCTCTTCTAACAATGCCTTCCTCATCTGTTAGGAAACACAATGACATATAAATGAATCAACAATTCTATCCTCTTCATCTGAAAATTCACAGGTTTCTGTGGCCTTTCTTAACCTAGTAACAAAATTATCCACTGTCTCCTTCGGTTCTTGCTTCACCTGGAGAAAACGAAATCTCTCATACCTCTTGTTCCTCTGTGGCAAGAATTGATTGTAAGGGCTGTTTCGTAAGTTGTCTTGGTAACTCCCAGAGTCTCAAAGATGCCTTGGACCTCCATACCTGCCGCTTTAAGTAGAAGTGCTCTCTTTTGGCCATCTTCAAATTTACCTGTTGCCTCCAAGTAGTACGAGAAGGCTCTCCTCCAAACCTCCTATCTTGGAGCAACTGACGAAGGTTCCTCAGCTACCAAGAAAGCTGGTGGTGGTGGCACGTTCATTGGCATGATGTGTTGT